TATCTTCGACCAACATAGTGCTCCAATTCTCCCTTCTTCTTGATACGCAGAATAAATTCGGCGTGTTTGTGCTTGCGGATCGTATGCTTGACCTGGGTGACTCGCACGCCTGCGACATTGACATCCCAGCCATTAATGTAGTTGCCCTCGGGCAGAGTATGCATAACACCAGTGTCGATAGCATTGCTGTCAACAATCTCAATCTCTGAAAACCGAATGCGCTCCTCGAATCCTGACGATGTTCCAATTCCAGAGACCATCATAAGCTCAACCAGTTTCCTGGCCTTGATGGCGAGTTTTCGTCGCTTCGTCTCCTCTAGGCGATCCTCCGACGATGAAATCTGCTTTCCTGCGAACGACTCGAGGAACTGTAGTTCGTTAGCATCAGATCGACCATGGACAAATCGCGTCATCATTACTCACCACTTGAAGCTTGTCCTGCCAGAACTCCTTCTCGCGCGCCTTATCAAGGAAGGGAAAGTCGCGAACATGGTGGACGAAGATGTAACGCAGAATGGGCAGTTCGGATTCTTCAGGAGGGACTTCACCATGATCGGATCGAAATGGCGCGCCGAAGCGCTGGAGGGCGGTGGTAGAGTTGAGTTCGTTTATTTCCCACTTTACCTGCTCCGAAATAAGCTCTCTCTTGAGGTCTAATACGTAAAGGCATATATCAGCATCTGGTAAACCGCATTTAGTCGCAAATTACTGCGCATTGCAACACTTACAGTGTTCTTGCTTGCCGGTCAACGTCTGGCCTGGTGGCGGCGTAGCATCTTGCTTTGATCGCACTGGGAGGTCAACGGTAGATGGAGGATTCGCGGGAGCATCCTCAACAACTGCGGGCGTATCTCTGGCCTCAGCAGCCATGTCTCTTGCGCAACAATCGATTATAGGGAGCTTTTCGTGTATGTCTTGTAAGGGAGAGAAAGGTATTTCACGTTCAGAAGGTAGGCCGCTATCAATGTCCGTTGTAAATTGATATCGATGTATGTAGAAGACTCGGCGAAGTTGGGGTAGGTATATTTGCGTCAGAAGAACGTCCGGAATATTGTTGGCTTGGTCTGCTTTCGTTTGGCGGGGCAAAGCTGCAGTAAGCTTCCATCGTTAGTACTGGACGCTAAAAAGCGCCTTATGGGGCGCAGCTACGTAATGTTGTCGGCTGTTGATAGGGACTCACATCAGCGTCTGCTTCAGGGTATCACGAACGGAACGGCCAAAGGAACAGAACCTCAAGTGATGAAGCTTTTCTTCCTTTGCATTATAGACCTCAACCTTTTTAAGGTACTCCTCACGCTGTGCACTTGCGTGTAATAAGCGCCAAAACGAGGGGCATGACGTGTGTCGCCAAGTACCAAGCCACTCGCCCAGACTCTCACAACCCTGCTTTTTCGGGTCCTTTTTGCCGTGTTATGGAAGCCCGGCATGACAGTCAAACTTTTTTGATATCAGACTAATGTAACGGCTATTGAGTTTCTGGTATGGTCAATGGTCCTGGGCGCCTAATGTAAGGCTGAACAGACATTTTAGTGATGAATTATTATCAATACGAAGGGGGCTTTCATACAATCTATAGACTGATGCCAAGCAACTCCCAACGGGCCTTTGTTGTAAGGAGTTCTCTAGCTTCATAGACTCGCGGTTTTTGGACTCCCTATCCGCTGCCGAAAACTGTCAACACTACAGTGACGACGACTCATCTCGTTTGATCAGCCCGTTTGATCAGCCCGTTTGATCAGCCCGTTCGGCATCTAAAACAGGCAGCCGATCCTGTTGGTTGATCCGAATATCAGTCTCATTTCGACCTCGATGAATATAAATAAGCCACGCCGGCCACGGTGATATCCACTCCATCTGCGTTGACATTGTGGCTGCTGAGAACTTGGACCAAGCACGGGATTACGCCGTGGAATAATAAGAGATTGGGCATTTCTTACGAGTAAGCCAATCATCGAAATGTGTACCAGAATGGGGAATCAGAGGGAGATTCTTTTGCCCCGCCACGATGAGTTACGCAATGCCGAGTCTGTGCTTTATTGACCAGCTCCGTACATGAGTTGCTTAATGGGAACGTTCCGGACATTATTTACGATATGTCACAGCCCTGGGAGGCTCTTAATATCTGGTCTCCCTGTTAATTTCGATGGTGTCGGGTAGCCTTGCCTTCAGTAAATAAAGTCACAAAGAAGCTCAAAACGCTCTGTCTAGGTTCTGGGCTCATCAGCACGGTTTCACGGAGAACGTTCGGCCGTTGTCGACCAATTCGATTCCCTAATCCTTGGCAATTTGGGTCAAAGCAGAGCTGTACCAAACCATTGGGGGACTGACTCCGGGACACGGCTCGGCGGTGGGGGTGACACGGAGGCTCCGAAGTGTGGCGCCGGAAGCGGCCCGGCGCAGGAGTTGTTGGCTTGAACAGGGAAAACGGAGATGTTCCTAATGAGAGAGCTAGGTAGGTATATTAGCATCACAAATTATCAATAACCTATGGAATAAGAGTCAGCGACACGAATGTCAGGCTTGACATGCCTATAGGCATCCAGTGAGCGAGGACACGTGGGATTCTCGTTAGTTTGAGCAATGCAAACATGCCAGATGCCTCATATCTATGTAGCAATGATCGCATGCCACCGTTATCTACGATGCTTGTAATAGCCGCGTACAGAATTGGCCTCGGTGTTAGTGATTGTGCATCGAGTCGATGCTCTTTGAAAGATTTCTTGTGACTGATGTAGGGTAAGTTGATCGACCACAATTGGCTTTATCTACAAACCAAAGGATATATCGATATTGAGGTAGTGCTTTATTGAAGAACAATCTCGATGTGAATCAACTATCTATTAAAATCCTGCCAGTACAAAGGGAATCAATGAGCTATGCGATGTGCGCGCTATGATGGGTATCGAATGAAAGCAATTAAAACGAGAACCGACAATTTCACAGTTCGTCGAAAACACGAAGCTCCTCCTCTGCATGCGTATGCACCTGCTTCCTCTTCGAATATGGAATACCGCTCTTCTCAGGTCTTCGGAGAGACAATGATGAATGTGCCGCTCCCTTATGCGACTGGATGATAGACTCTGCAACACGAGGTGTGCTCGAGTTATCACTACCCAAAAGGGAACTATGTCTTGAGACATACTGAGCACCGAAGAACAGAACCACCACTGCAAGGAACACAACCGTGATGCATATGATGATAGCTCTCAACCTCAGCCGTGTCTTGTCCTGGGACTCCTTGTCTAGACGCTCCCAGAGCTCAACTTGCTCTCGGACAATATCGACTCGATCGCTGAGAGCGCGGATCCTTGCGCGGCCATCTTGGACACGGGTCGTGAGTGATTCGATGTTCTCCTGGTGCTCCTTGAACTGACCCATTGCTGCAATCTGCGATGTGATATCGTTTTCAATCTCACAAGCGTCCTTCTCAAAATTTCGATGGATGTTCTGAGACTCCTCCGCCAACTCTTTCAAGGCGGAAACAGTCGACTGGAGTGTACTCATCTTCTCAAGAACCGCATAGTATGTCTCGTCAAGTCGCCGGGCTGTGGACGTAGAGAAGGATCCAAGCTCGACCAGGGATTGCTTCAGGCCCCTATGAATGCGTCAGCTATACAGCACCAGACAAGGATATTTGCAGCATCTTACTCGACCTGAGAGGACGTTTTAGCCTGATCTTCCAATATCTTCTCCTTGGTCTTGGGTTCCGGGGGAGCAAGGACGATAAGAGCTCTGTTCTCCTCCTCTCGCGAAAGCATCAAGCTTGGCCTCCGACTCTGATCGGGGCTCATGTACGGCGTGACGCCTTCCGAGCGTGTCATGATGTCTATTGATGCTCTGCCTTGATATTGTGGGTTCGCAGATACGGGATGTGAGATTGAGATGTGGTGCGGATGCACGGCGCGGTCCTCATTATATCGATCGCGTTCTTTCTTCTCTCGGCGGCCGAGCTTCACGGGCGACGCGAGCTCGGTGATGGATCGTTTCAACTGATGTCGGCTGCTGGAACGAACACTGGAGACCGAGTTTGTAGAGTCTCGGGGACTCGTAAAGCCTGCTGAGGCCATGGCGTGAGCGGTATTTCCCCGTTGGTAGTGTGGCTGATCCCGATTCGTCCTGCCTGCAGCTATTGTGACCGTACTGTAGGTCGTGAGAAAAACTCTATGCCTGGACCCTGTGACGCATGAATTGGTGGGTTACCCAAAGAGGGTTTGGAGCAGTAGAATTCCAGGTTTGTTGCGTGGTTGCATCAGGCGATCGTCGAATGGTCAACTTCGGGTGTGGTTTAGTGGACCCCTGCAAACCGGCAGTTTCACATGTCACTTGAATTGTAGATGCATACAAGATCGAAACATCTCCACATGAGATGCGGATAGTATCCGAATACGTTTTCAATAGTATCAGATGCTGGTAGACGTATATAGTCTTCCTTTCGAAGTATTGAAAACAGCTCGAATGTCATGGCATGTGCTATCGGTTGGTCAAGCTCAGAATGGTGTCATAGTCACCACGATATCCACAATGGCGGTCTTTAAGTAAGACCAAGATCCCCAAAGAAACCAGTAGATGGATGGCTAGGATGGGTCTACTAGAAGGTTCACGCATGTTGCTTTCGTCAACTTGGAATTTTAGATCTCTGGACCTCATGTCATTGTGCTCCCCTGAAACTTTTTAGTTGGCTGTCCTACAACAAAAGAATCTCAGCTAGAGCTCGACTCAGTCCCGAATCAGCCGATATATGAATTCATGATGAATATGATTTTTTGAAATCTTTAATCACATGAAGACGAATAACCACTCGATAGTCAGAGAACTCGTTAGCTGATCTGCCAAGATTTGATCGCATATTCCAACGCCCAGGTATATTGTGCTGCTCCCGTGTTGTCTAACCTAATCTTTCCATTTCAAGTTGTAGTCTGAGGTATACCGCATCGTAAATCATAGTGCTGTCGATGTACGTCTGCTCCAATCAAATTTCAACCACCAAAGCCTTCCCAAGATCATGAGTTGATTAGCTTGTTTCGCTTCTCCTTGCGCTTTAGTCGCTCGACTCGCTTCTTGTGCATCTTCTCGGCCATCTTCTCGTATCGCTCAGCCTCCTCCTTCTTTGCTCGCTTCTCCTTAATGGCTGCAATCTTGCGCTGTTTCTTAATTTAGATCATGTTTCGTCTAATGTGAGGAGAATCTGGGCCTACCTGGCGCTCCTGTTCCTTCTCGTCCTTCATCTCCTTCTCCTTGGCCTTGACTTGCGCCATGAGAGCTCGCTCTTGCGTTCGCTTCTCGTATGACTTCAGTCCAGCGGTAGGTCGGAAGGCCTTTTTGGGGGCATGCCATTGCTTGCCTACGGAACAGTTAGCTTGGTGAATCCATATACAACCCATGCTGGGGGTTGATGTTACCATTCTTGCGCATGCCGAGAGTCTTTTCCGCCGCAGGAGCGGGAGTCAAGTTTGTTTTCTCCGTATCAGACATACTGTTGCTGTGTATCTGTCTTTGATACCGAGGCGTGTCGTTTGAGCGATCTTGCGCGCTCACCAATTTTTCTGCCAGTCAAAAAATGTTGCAGCGGGGCACTATCCTAGAGGCGGTGAGGATCACGATAAAACTGTGGCTGTGCGCCCCCACATTTGGTCCAGAACTGTGGCTCAAATCAAGGGTCCAGGGACCTCCCCACACTTTAATTCAGGGGCAGATAAGGGGGCGATCTTGTCACGTCGCTTGGTGCTTTTGTTTCACGATCGGAAGACTTCTGGCCCCTACAGATGAAATCCTGATAATAATCAAAGGTTGAACTGGCCTCGGTTCGGTTATTCCTTGCTCCATTTAATAGTTCGTCCGTCTGGCTTTTTTCGGCGCTGACGAGTCTTCCAATAATGTGCCATCCCGTCCCTGCTTAACTGTCAGTCGAGGGAGAATCTACGCTATTGGCTACGTCTTTCAGCTGTGAACTTGTAAGCCTCAGATCCAGTAAGCGGAGCAAAAAGACCCGAGACCTTCAAGGAAAGGGCTAATAATACCAATCAAATCTTCTAAACCTTATACTCTGTGGTCACCCAAGTATTTTTGTCACTCAAGATCGTGGTCTTGGGGTTTCCTTACCTCCCCTAGCCACCCAAGGTTTACAAGGATTTCTAGTTTTGCAGTTTCTCGCAGGTGGCTTTGACTTCGATGCATGGAAGCTAACCGTTAAGATGCTGATCAAGTGATGTGATTGGAGCAGGGGTAATGAATGACTGTTCGTATTGCCAGCTGCATGTCCGTTTACGTTCATGTCAGGCATCTGTCTGTATGAAAGGGGGGCCAACCGTATGAGTATGCATCAAGGAAGATGGCCTCGGCCAAACCATGAGCCTATTACTGTCCAAAAGCATGTTGTTGACGTACGCACTCCAATGGTGCTTACTATGTAATTAGATTAATTAACAGTATTGCAAATACATGCGTGTAATTGCCGTGCATCATTAGATTACAGAGACATTTCCGAAAGGCAGAGATATTACAATGTGGAGTCTTGTGAGAGACATTTCGAAGGAAGCGTCCATCATAAGGCTACAACTGAGAACATGCTATGAGAGACTATGGATGAACACCTATATTGACGCGAGGATTAATCGGGCTCATCGTAATCAGCATCCATGACACTACAATGTCATAGTGGGACACGACTGATGCGGGTTAGAAGCCAGATTAGGCCATGTTCCTTCGGTATCGTGGCCGAATCCTACATAAATGACATCCCGTCTATCATGGGTCCAGAGCCAAGGCCACGAAATGACGATGAACCATCGCGTGCTAAATTCGGGTATTTCTCAACCCCATTAAAAACACGGTAGATATTTTTGGGAATCTGTCCTGTCCTGTCCGAGGCCTCCTTCACCGCAACGCAGGGAGATGGATCTCATGACGGAATGAAGAGGAAATCGTAATTAGCTGGGCAAATTGGCTTATTACCGTTGCAGATAATAATAGGAATGCCGCCCGTGTCGAGCGGGATAACATAGCTTCCTCGTTGAGATGTTGGCGAGATTGCTTATGCATATAAGAAAGCCTTCATTTCATCGCGATGCGCCTGAGGGAGGTTATTCGTGGATGAGCTGAACGGTGGCAGGCTGACCTGAGATGGGATTTGCCAGCCTCTTTTTTCTTCTCGACCGTGAAAATGGCCGATTATGAGTGCACGGTGGAGCAAAACGGGGGAATTCGAAGGCTCGAAAGAGGGAGAATCCTTGTATAGTGGCTTAGCTGGTGGACCTGGCTCCATGAGAGAGTCTGCCCATGAACCCCCAGGTCTGGGCAAGACACGAGGGATGAAAGAGAGACATGAGGAGTCAATGTTACAAGGTGCCAAAACTGACCCTTGGCAGGCACCGTATGCATGCAGATTTGTAGAGCTTGTAGAGCTGTGATATCATGCAATTGCTTGGTTTGCCAACACACAATTGTCACGACAACCATCGATCAACAGATGCAACTTGTGTTTTGTCTAAATTGTTCCGCCATGCTTAATTTAGGCGTTGTCGAGTCTTTGAACACCGTCCCGTCTTGTTTATACCGAGTTCGGCCATATTCCCGATGCGCCAAGTACCTTGAGATCATTTTAGTCTGTGCATGATTTGGCGGTGTCGTCGGATATTGGTGTAGATCTGACGTTAAATATGATTATCAGGCAGGCCAGGATAACCTTTGTTGGGGAAGCAGTGTATAAGCGCGTAGAGCAATAGATTGTCAATGCAATTCAATTCGAGATCAAAATTGTTGCCATTGTTACACGGGAGGGGCGCCTGTCATTTCAAGCTCGGTAACTGTCAACACTCGGATTGAGTTTGTTGAAACAAACCATCCATGATAGAGACAGCTCCATGATCAACCCGTCGGCTTGTCTGACGTGCTGTGAATTTAGAAAAGCAATTAATTAGACAGTGAATCAAAGCAAAAGCCAATCAGGATGCAGTCTGATACCGTTGCCTTGGTGAACTTCCCGTCCCAGATGAACAAGGCAAAGTGCTTTTTGTACAAATGTCCCTGCACGCACAGATGGGCACCAGCCTCAGCCTCAACCGCATCCGTCATCAGCTGCCACATCTTTCAAGGTCTCAATCAAGGAATGACTTTCAGGTACGGGTGTCAGTGTGGGAATAGACAAGGGGGATTAAGGCTGTTCCTGGCCCCGTGCGTAGCGAGGATGGCGTTAAGCTGGGACTATAACCAAGATCAAGGCTTTCCACTGACCGAGATGTCAGTATGATGAGAAAATGTAAATAGCAAAACAAGTAACTGGTGATACGCTCGGCAAACAGCTTTCCCGTTGAGATACAATGGGTCAGTCGACTGACCCCATCTGTCAAGATCTAAAATCGGAACTCTTTGGCCTGTAAACCAGAGCGCTCGGACGAGGGCAGTACGTAATCTTCAAGGGCTCCTGGCAACCCTGTTGATAGATCACAACCTAACTAACTTGATAAGTCCTGGGGTCATTGTTCTGATGAATCGGTTTGTTGTGGTCGTGTTCTCGACTTCGTAATCTCTGACCTGGTCAGGCCGATGGGCCAGGTGGCCTGCCAGCTCACCCTGGACAGATCTCAGGTCAACCAACGGGGGAAGAAGGAAAAAGCAACGGATAAGAACTCAATAAAACCCGCAAATGCAAAATACCTAACACAACACAGCACAACACAACACAACAGATATGCGCTCCGCCATACTGTATACAGCATCGTATTGTATCTTTCTGGGCTCTTGTGGCGCATAGCAGTTGACGACTGGTTCTAGCCCCGATTCATCATGCAAGCCATGTCTCGTCTGTACGATAGTTTACACGGTTGGTGTGAATTAGTGAGGATGAGAGTGGATAGATATACATAAGCCTGCTTTGTTTCTGACAAGGCGTGTTGGCGGCGGATGGCTCGGCACTATCACATAGTAATATGAATTCATGATTGTTGCATGCGGAAACTATCGTGTCGTGTGAACTCCCTACCTTAACTTTAGTTGTTGTGGTGTTTCAATGGAAGGTACCGTTGATCTAGGTCCCGCCTCTTCTTGAGATCGATCTGTTCGTTGGTGGCTGCCTACTACAACAGCCTCCTGGTCTCTCAGTGGATATGATTGGCCTCTGACTTACACCAGATCAAGGTACAGCTGAGTATGGGTTGCAGAGAAATCACCGAAAACTTTGTACAGCGACACAAATGCAAAATCAATCATGCATCTTACGATAATTTCTAGGCGAAGGCTGCGCCAGAAACCTTTGTTCAAGACAAATCGTCGAATCCTCTGGCCGTGAAGCTTTCCCGCTCATGTATCACCGACCTCTTGGACCGGTACAGACGTTCCGCCAGGCCGTCGATAAGAGAGACCTGCTGATTGAAGCTAACTCGGGCCCATGAATTGTATTCTCAAAGTGGCCAGCCGGTTATCATCCGAATCCTGACCTGCAGCTGCCCGCTGACCACCAAACGGTAGCAATGCTTATTGCAACTCAGCCGGTCGCTAATCGACTGGGATCTCTTCCTGTTCGCAGCGTTTGATGGTGTGAACAACTTCTAGCTAGCTTCTTTTCAGAGTTTGGCAAATGTCTGAAGAAACGACTTTCGTGATAGTTATCTATGATGCCTCGCCAAGGCCATCGATACTTGATTTCCATGCGCAACCGCCAAGGCCGTTAGATTGTCGCGGCCATTGAGCAAGACATCGTGCCGCCCGCTGTAACCGTTACTCATCCCTTGACCTCCACTTTGGTGTTCGCCTCCCCCGCTCTCAAACCTGGAGGCCATCCTGGTAAAGGCGCTTGGTGAGTTTGGGCATGGGAGGATTGAAGATCATCGATATGGAGCATCGGGAATAACTACAATAGAGAGTCGAGTCTCTTCACACGATGGAGTTGTCCTTCCAACATGAATTAGGTTCAACGCTTGATGTCACTTGCTCAAGATTGCTCCGTTGCATCTTCCTCCATCTGTCGTGGGCTTGCAGCGCTTTTGTCTGCATGCACAAGTGCACCTTAGGTGCAGGTACACGGCGCGCACTGAGGGTGACATGGGCAGGGTTGTTAAGTGGCCCCTGACAGAAACAGCAGACGAATAACAGAGGCCTGCAGCGCCCAACAGAGCAGCAGGAACCACCTCGAGAGCGTTCGCAGCGCCGCGAACGAACAAGGAGCCAGGGGATACTTTGTAGTCGACCTACGAGGTCACAGTGCAGATGTGGACTTGGAGTCTCACGTATCGATATTGACAGTACCTGTTATGAGATGGTGACCGCCATGAAAGTGCACCACTGCAGTTGATGAAGATCAATATCCATGATGGTAATGTTGTCCTGTTTCAGTAAGATTGGGCGAGGAGCAGAAGGGTTTGTTCATGGCTTATAGCGCAATAAAAAGATTATGCTCTTGTCAGATTGTCATGAATAGCAGAGATAGATTAATTGATATTTGACAGCATAAGATGGCATATCCGAAAATTATTATCGTC